ATGTATGTACATATGAATAAATGAATGAAGGAAAAAGTCCATCCTTCAGCATGTCATTTGGTTTGGCAGGCACACAGAATGGGAAAGCTGAGACTGCAGAGCTTACTGTGGAGTTCTCCAAGTAGTATGTCTTGCTTTCTCACAGGGTTAGAATTGCGCCAAGATTCTGACGCCCTGACCCCCGAGGTGCCAGGTGAGCCTGGATGGACCAGTCTCCTTTGGCTCTGAGAAGCCTCCCCTTTCTCTTTTTATTCCAATTATCATTTTCTACATGTCTGTGAAGTAAAAAAGGTTGGAAGGCAGTGGCTTGCCTTAGAATGTTTTTAGGCTTCAGTAAATCGTCTGTGACTATCCCACCTCAGGCAACCTCAAGAAGGTTATGTTCCCATTCTGAGACTTAGTTTACTCACAGGTATGAAGTGGTGTTACACTATAAGATTTCCAATTTCCTTCTCTAGTTCTTCAATGCAATCATTCTGTAAATTGCAAAATCTTCCTAAAATATCCTGAAAAAGTAACATTTTACGAAAGAAAAACAAAGCAAAATTGTAAAGTGAGACTTAAGAGAGTACTGAAAGCTTCTACCTAATCCATATTTAACAAATCTGATTAAGTACCTGCTATGTGTCAGAGATGTATGACTGATAGTGGGATTACACCTACACAGACAGGCATGTTCCCTGTTCTCTTCAAGCTGGTAGCCTGCTGAGGAACACAAACCAAAAAGAACAATTACGACTTAGTGGAATAAGTACCAAGACCAAGATGGGGAGATACAGAGTGGTCAGCATGAGGAAGGGAAGGCTTCCTGCCAGAAGAGACATCCAAGACAAGACAGGAAGAACAACCAGAGATGGAGAGTGGGGCTGGGTAGGTTATGGGTACGTGGGAGGTGGGAGGGGTTGAGATAGGGAAAGATGACATTTTAGACAAAGGGAATACCATCTGCCAAGCCCCAGAGACACTGTAACTTGGGAACTGTAAGAAGTCCAATATGACCAGAATGCACAGCATGAACTGCAGTGCAGAGTACATGACAAGTTAGAAAAGACCCTCTGGCCTGTAGCAGTAGGATAGAGAATGAACGGAGATGGGCAAGACGGAGGTAGGAAGATCCAATGACTGTACCATCAACAACAAGGAAGGAAACAAAAAAGGGAGAGTTTACAAAGTATTCTTAAAGCTGGAAGAGAAAAGTGGGCACAAAGTTAGCTTGTTCAGAAGGCAATATAATACTTTCATATAATACAGAATCTAGAAAAGCATATGTATGATTTATACACATGAAAGACCATTTCTTAAAACTACATGATTATCAAAAGCAATAATGCCATTTAACTTTGAGGAAATAATTTCCAGGGTACATTTTATAAATTAATAGCCATGATATATTTTAGATTTTACATAGTAAGTTCTTTCTCCACACTATCCCTATATATAAATTATACCCTGAAAAATAGAATGCATTTGCCATAGCAACAGTTCTACATCAACTCCTACTCAAGTCAGAAAAAGCATATGTAAAAGAAATGAATATTCTGGAATATTCTGAGATGCCTGTGATAAAAATCATTTATTTTGGAAAGATTTAAATATAAGAGCTCAATGTTTCTTTAAAACATCCTTGTAATTAGAAGGCTATTTTAGTTCTTCAAATCTTACTTTATTAAACAATATAAAACACTGCTTAAAAGAAAGTGAGGAGGAGAATAAATAAGGAAAGAAAAAGAGAAACAAAAAAAATCAATGCCAAGGATAACATTCTTGGGATCGAGTTGATGGGTCTGGGAAGCAGTAACAGGAAATTACTTTAAAGCAACTTATAAGTTAAATTTAAGCCAAGATTACAACTATATTATATTATCAAGAAAAGCTATATCTTTCTGGTATTATGGGAATGAAAAAGGAATTCTTGTGTTCACATAGGCTTCTTCTTAAAAAAGTAAAGGGATTAGTAATGTAACAGGATTAGTGCTTATCAACTTGCTTGATAAATTAAGTACAAATTTTCAAGTGAGCAAGTTTATACACAGTGGATCAAGGGTTGCTCTGGTCTGAATGCTTGTGTTTCCTCAAAATTGATACACTGCAATCCTAACTACCTTGATGATGGTATTAGAAGGTGTTGCCTTTGGGAGATAGCTCTGTCATCAGGACCTGAGAGAGACCTCTCACATCTTCCACCATGGGAGGACACAGTGAGAAGGTGTCATCTGTGAGGCACAAAATAGAATCCCATCACATAATAGTGCCTTGATCTCAGATTTCTTAGTCTTCTTCTATGAAAGAAGTATTTCTGTTGTTTATAAGCCACCCAATCTACTGTACAATGTTACAGCAGCCTGAACAGGCCAAGATATGGATCTTTTCCTACCAAAAAACCACTGTACAATACCAAATGCAACATTAAGGTAGACAGAATTCAAAGCTTTTCCTTTCACTCACCACTCTCATGGCCAACCAAATTTTCTGTGCCACACATCTGTCATCCTTGCTCCTGGCCCAAGATGGAATACTGTTACAGTTCCAACTCCCTGCTGTTCTGGTCTATTCTCTGACTGCTGCCCTACATCTCAATTTTCCCACTGTCCTCAAAGCATTCCCAAATGCTCCTATGTTTCTAACCACTTTGTTTAACATTGAAACCCAATGATTTGTTATTCCACAGGGGCAATGAGGTGGCAGAGCATTCTGCTACATTCTATTCTGTGCACCTCAGGGCTCAGAAGTTCTTGCTCACCTCTTTAGGACCTTACCACCTCTGCTCATCCTCACCTCATGTCACCAGTCCCCATTCCTTGCAATCTTTAATACATGGATCATGGTCATCTTCTACAAGAAATTCCACTGTTATTTTAGATGATCTCAGTATTCGTAAGGATAACTCTTTCCCAAACTCTGTTTCTTGATTTGATTTAAAGGCTTTCCTCCCCTTCTACTGCCCACATTCCAGGCCACACACAGGAGCTCACATCACCCAGAACACACCACCTTTGAAATCTTTTTATTTTTTGGCAGTACTGGGATTTGAACTCAGGGCTTCATGCTTACTAGGCAGGCCCTCTACTGCTTAAGCCATGAGCAGCCCTTTTTGCTATGGCTATTTTGGAGTTAGGGTCTAACTTTTTGTCCAGGCTGACTGAGACTGCAATCCTCCTATTTTAGGCTTCCTGCAGTCAATGGTATGACAGGTGCGCACTATCACTCCAGCTACTGGCTAATGGAGTTTCATTACCTTTTTGCCTGGACTGGCCTTGAACAGCTACCCCCTAGATCTCAGCCTCCCAAGAGCTAGGAATACAGACTTGAGCCATCAGCACCAGCTCTACCTCTGAAATCTTCAAGGCAGGCATTTCATTCTCTGATTCAATCTCTATCACCTAATTACTCATTACATATTAACTCATTGACCCCATCCTCACATTATTTTACTTTATGTTGGCAATGACACTCTCCTTAATCAAACTCTCTTCTCAACTAGGCCTCAGTTATCACCCACAAAAGCTACAGACTCTGACAAATGATTCCATCTATCTTCCCCCACATTAAGAAACCTGAACTCTAGCCTAGTTTCTAACAGCTCAATGCTACATTCTTAGGATAACCCCATGCCCACTGTCAGAAAACTCAGCGCTGTCAGGAGAATTTACTACTTGTTCCAGCCAAAACTTGCAGCTAGACCCTTGAAGTCCTTCTTACAGAAGCTACTTTAGAAAGCTTACAGTTATGAATCCTTTTTCTGCCCCTTTGAGATGTGAAATTTCTATCACCCAGGACTATCTTCTCAACTAACAAAGGGTTAACACAGTATAAGCACCAGTTAAAAACCCCAGATCTTTTCACACTAAACCAATGTCATCCCCCGCCCACTTCCCCTCCATAAGTACCCATTCTCCCTTTAAAACACCCAGCCCACTCTGTACGAACCAGTCAAGTACAATTCATTCTAGATTCTTTTTCTGTATTATAATAGCATCATTATACATAAAACCTATCTTTACCACTTTAGTATCTGGCTCTGTTTGAGCACTGACAATGTAACTTGATGTAACTTGATGCACACACACACAATCTGCTACAAGTTCACGTCTTTCCTCAGTTTCAGTCACTTTTTTGCTAGTATTCTCAATCTTTTTAGAGATGAATGTAAACTTCTTAATATAACATATAAATGAATTGACCTTTGATTGCTAAACAGTTCTCCTTTACTTTCTTACTCCAGCCTTACTCAACATCTTCAGCTCCTGGAATTCACCCTGCTCTGCCTCACTTCCAGCCTCTGCAGGCTGATTCCTCTACCTAGCATACCCCTTTCTACTTCTCTGGCTTACGCTGACTCGCTCTTCAGTCAGTCTCACCCCTAGGGAATCTTCCTCAACGGTCCACTGTTATCTGCTTCTAAAACACTCTGGGTATCAGTATTCTGGCACTTACTAAAGCTGTCTTACATGAACCTGCCCATCATCTCTGTTAAACCACAGCTCTGCTAGGGCAGGGAAATGTTCTGTCTTACCATGCTCTGTTCCTAATTTTCATTTCACTACCTGGGATATATATTACATGAATAAAGGTATAGGATCATTAGTGTTCTGTGAGAGAACTCCAGTCTATGTGATGAAAATTCTCATCACCAAAATCAGCTGACACATCTCCTATTCATTCACAGGGCATTTGAAACACCATGATATTTATGAGTCCAGTCTCATTAGCATATTTGAGCATTTGTGACTATAAAGTATTTTTATTGGGTCACCTAGGATAACTAAGATAATTTTCTTTAGTTACAAAATCTTTCCATCTCTGGATGATTTTTCATTAGAAATTGTGATAATCTATATTTGGCAGTTTATATAAAACCATGGCCAAGATTAGTCCATTTAAACCCAGTTAAAATTTGGATAAATTTTAATTACTAAAAAAAAAAAAATGACATTCAAAAGCTTGGGATCAATGATTTCATCTTTTACTTTTTCTTTTTTTGGTTATAATGTGGTACGTACTGATAAATTTGTGCTATTGGGAACATACTGATCTTGTTCTCCCAGTAACACATCAATCACAGGGTGCCTTCCATTTTTTATGATGATTTTCCTTTCTTCTTGTAGAGTGGGCCTGCAAAAAGAAGTTTTATCAATTCTATAGGCATGGAAATACTATTTAAAAAAATATCTAAGCAACAAGAAGTTCAGTTCCCAGTTAGTAAGACAGATAACAAAACCTTAAATGTAGACAGTAAGAATGTAGGTCTAGATAAGGCTTTGGGTATAAGAGTTAAATTTTAATTATAAGGTAATAACTGTGAATAATAGTTCACTGAAACACAAACATAGCAGTTTTCTGCTGGCTCCACTACTGAAGGCTATCTTTACAAGGCTCTTATTGTTTCTCTATTACTGTCCACAATCAAAGCAAACTTTTCATTAATAAATATTAGATAGTAGTTCAGTTTATTGCTAGTTATTTTTAATAATATGCATAAAAGGAAATTATATAAAATTATTTCCAGATTTAATTATCACCTAATACAAATAATATGTTGGACTTGAAGACAGAATGTTCAACTGAAAATCTTTCTATAATCTTTCATTATCTTTTGCTTTTTTGATAGAAAAGAAAAAAAGAGTTGTTTTGCATTGTTGTTCTTTGTGGGTTTTTTTTTTTAATTCCTTTCTATCTTACCAGTTTTTATCTATAGCTTTATCTATTTATCCATGCCCTTTGAGCTTGGCCCTTCTCTGCCTTCTTGCCAGTAATCAACGGGAGATCAGTTTAGTGTCTCCCCTTCCCAACTTTATTCTACATGTTTACAGTCACATACAGTCACATACATCTTTCATTGGTTGTGATTTCTTTAAAAAGCAGGGTTGTGCTATAATGTATCATTCCACAACTACTTTTAACTCAATAGTTTATTTAAATAATCAGGACATATAAAAATAGATTTCCATCTGGTTCCAATGGACTTTATTTTTAATATTTTAAAGCCCATTTTACAAATAATTTTACTGCAGTGGGAATAATGGAACAGTTAAATATCAACCTTATAATAAGTATTAATAAGAATTTATTTTTAAATTTTAAATGTTATTATTATTCTTTTTTTTTCACTGCTAGGGATTGAACCCAAGGCCTCACTCATGTAAAGCAAGTGTTCTATCTCTAAGCTACAGTCTCAACCCTTAATAAGAATTTAAACACAGAAAATCTCAGATTTTCTTTATTCTTTTTCCCTGGCTTTCAAAACATATATACCTGGAATGGGAAACAGCTAGCATGCAGGTACCTAGCATTATTCACTTATGCATACTAAATTACAAATTTTACTACACTTCTAATAGGTTTCAGTTCATTAATTCTGGTTCTTCTCAAACTTGCCATCAACAAAAATGCAATAGATGGAGAATTTTTAAAAAACTGTTTAAAGCTCATAATTTGCTTGAATGCAGGACAGCTAATTCTTTGTTCCATAATGCAAAACACTCATTTTTAGATTCATAAATACCAATTATGATAGTCAATCAAATGAATCCTTTCATTTCTACATCATCTGTTTCCTTCAGTCTCCTGCCTGTCCACCTACAATCTACATCAAGTAAATTTTGAACAAATATAATAAAAGATAGAAAACCATCACATCTTTTAGTAAAACAGGATAACCCAGGTTTTTGTCACCAAATATTGTGTGATGAATGGTTCCTGTTAGAATGACTAATGATGAAAATAACACATTACATTTTGCCCTATAAATATGTTATTTACACATCAATTCTTCATACAATATTGTATATAATACCGGCACTCATAACCTCAGATTTTTTATACAAGATATTATACTGTTATACTTAGTATCCAGAGCACTGCTCTTTTTCTTCACGTTCACCTTCTGATTAACCTAGTAACTCTGAAATATCTTATGTCAATTGTTTTCTCTTTGTTATTATGAGTAAAAAATGAAAAATTCTCAATTGTATTCAATGAAAATTAGAAGCATATTACAACAATGGCACCAGAGCTCCTCTTGAAAGATGTTCTAGGACTTCTAACAGAGTAAGAAAAAGGAAAGGTGATGTGAAGGTGATTTTTATTCTGTCACTTTCACATCATCATTCTCCAACTGTCTTTTTATTTTTGATTTTTACACTATAGCTAGAGTAACTGGTAAACAATGTTGAAATAATTCCTAGAATGTTGAACATTAAGATTCAGGAAAAATGAGATCACTAAAGATCCGAGTCTATTTCAGATTCACAAGTTGGTCCAATGGGCCCATATGGTAAATATAAGCCCAAATAAGTTTATTCTCCCTTTCAAATGAAAAATTGTAAACTTCTTTGTTCTTTAGAAGACCTTTAAGACACTGAAATAAGTCTAAATGGACCGTTATGGTATAATGAAGATTAATGATCATTTCAGCATTCTTTTGAAGCTGTTGCACAGATGAATTAATCACTCTCCATTGTGGAACATTTAGACTGTGACCAGATTTTCACTGTTATAACCAATGCTGCATTAAATAACTCAATACTTGTCTGCATGTGTGTCCCCAAGACTTTCTCCAAGCTAGGATAAATTTCTGAAGTAGAGTTTCTAAGTTGTATACACACTTATTTTAATAGACAGAATAGCTATATCAATTTACCTTCTCACCAACATAAAAGTTGACTTATCTTTTCATACCCTAATTTAGAGTTCATATTTTCAAACTTTCTAATTTTTGACAATATGATAAGTAAATGGTGCTATCTCATTTTCATAATAATTACCCATTGATTATTAAGGCTGAACACTTTTTCATCTGTTTCTTGGTCATTTCTTGACCTCTTTCAGCTTAATATCCTACCAGTGACCTCCTAAAGTTCTTGTATTCAGAACTTTGACATATAAACACATTTTTAGAATTTACCCATAATACCAACACTACTTTCATAAATACTTAAATTCTTCTTAAGTATATGTGGATAATAAAATCCTAGGAATGAACACATTTTTTCAAAGAAAGTGATTAAAATATCTCCTGAGTAAATTATTTTAAATTATCCATGGAGATATTTAAAATTACAAGAAAAGGAAAGTTTTTGGACTTTAGAATGTAATTCTAAAGACAGGAGGATGTTTTGGTGTGTTTGTTTGCTTCTTGTTTAGAGACAGGGTCTTACTATGTAGTTCAGACTGGCCTCAAATTCATAATCTTCCTGTCTAGCCTCCTGAGAGCTGGGATTACAGGGTATGCACCACCATACCTGGCAAGACAGGATTCTTAACTAGGGTACGCTATGGATTTACGAGAAGAGAGAAGAATGAAAGCATTTGTGAGTGACATTAATATTAACATAAAAGCCTAGGTGCTCTGCCAAGTGAAATCAATATATCATCTTCATGACGTTGATATGACTTCTTGGGAAGATTTTCACTTCAAAATAAAATTGAGAGTGATTTGTTCTGCTCTAAAATTTATACTGACTTATTCTGTTGCTATTGAAATTATGTAATGGCAAAACACTTCCTGGTAGAGTAAGAAGCAAAGGAAAATTCACAGAGCAGGGATGAAATACAAGGACAGAAGAGCTGTGGCAAAAAATATGGGAAAAGCATGCTGATGAGACAGCCATAGCTGTGATGGGGAGAAATGAGGTCTACATGCTTCCTGGAAAGACAGAACCATGTGAGCTGGAACAATTTATTGTATTTCATATTTTTTAAATTGCAGCTATCTCCTTTAACTGCCCCAGAGAAACAGAATATAATCTGTATTAGTGAAACAGTTATTATCCAGAATATAAATTGGATAGAAAGATCTAGAATAAGAACTTTTGCCTAAAGGTTTAGACTGCAGTGAATAAAAATATCCTAATATCATTTAGAAAGAATGAAATTATGACTAAATCTAAGGTATTTAAATAATTTGAAAATTTAAGAAAATGTGTGCAAATTTCAGATACTTATATACTGGCTTTAAATACATTTTAAGTAGAAGTTTCCTATTTCATGGCTATGCGCTCAGCTTAATTTTTGCCCTAAGAGAAAATGATGATGTTACTAAAAGGCCAAAACATGATTTATGTAGGGATCTTTTAGATTGATTTAGCAATAAAATATATGGTGTCCAATTTGGAAAGTTTTTAGCATGTAAAATATTTCTTGAAATGGCTTATTGACAGATTAGGTAATCTAGAATAATCTTCCTACTAAGGACATATAGAAAAGGTGTCTGATAACTAACAAGACAGCAAAGAATTTCCAGACCAGGATCTGGAGTAGGACAGAGGCTGGGGGATGGGGTAGGGTACAGGGAGGAGTCTTTTGCTCCTATGGGTATGGGCTGGTTTCTAAGGGCACTGCTTAGGCCGAGCATACTTTAAAGCTGTTTTCTGTAGAGACAGCAAGGGCTGGACACCAGCATCAGAATACATCTGAATGCAGAACTGCAGCTATCTCTGAATCACCTTTCAAGCCTTGACTTAGAAGAAGTGATGTCTTTTACTGTGCAGCAATGTCTAGGACAGCAAAGTAACTCTTTCAGAATAAGCACTGCATCAAATCATTTCTATAAATGATTTCATAGAAGCAATGCCTAACAGATAATCAAAACAGTCAGGCAGTCAAGGAGATACATGGATAAAAATTAGTAGAAACAACAAATAATACAAACTGATCTATGAGGACTCCACATACCTGAACTATCAATACACAGACTTTAAAATAACTATGCTTACTGTGTTCAAAAAAATAAGATGCAAGATTAAGAACTGACAGAGGAGTAAAAAATGACATCTTTTTTTAGAAGACACAGTTTTGCTATATAGCACAGGCTAGCCTCGAACCAAAGATCCTCCTGCTTCTACCTCTGGAGTGCTGGGATTATAGAAGTATGCCACCACCCTGGCAAATTTGTTTTTAAAGAATTAGTAGGACTATGAAAAGTACAATGACTAAATTCAGATATTTGTGTGTGTGTGTGTGTGTGTGTGTGTGTGTGTGTGTGTATGGTACTAGGGTTTGAACTCAACACCTTGAGCCACTCTACCAGCCCTTTTTTTGTAATGGTTTTTTTTTTTGAGATACGGTCTTGCAAATTATTTGCCCAGAGCTGGCTTCAAACTGTGATCCTCCTGATTTCTGCTTCCTGAGGAGCTAGGATTATAGGCATGAGCCACTGCGCTAGCCAGATCTTTTTATTAAAGACAAAGAAGTTTTATAATACTTAATGTTTCTGATTTTTGAATAAACATCTGTAAATAATAATAGCTTTTAATAGTTAATGCTTGTTATCTGCCTGACTTTACTTAGAAGTTGCATATATAATATCATTTAACCTATACAACGCCTCTGAAAAGTAGGTATTATTTTATCAGTACAGAAACCAAGGATGATACAGGTTATATAACTTGTTAAGGTCAGCTATTATTAAACCCATGCTGACTGATTTATAGTCTACATTCTGAAGGGCATGCCTTATAAAGAGATTCAAATCTCACTTCTGCAAATCAAGGTGTTATCTTTGTGTGTGAAGAGGCCACACAGTGAGGAGAAGCCACAGACAGAAAGAATCTAGATGAAACTTGCATGTAGCAGATGCTCATAAAATTTCTTTAAATCTCTGATAAGTGTAGGAGTTACGCATACACAGTTTTTATGGTGATGAAATGAGAGATATATTTTTACTCTTCAGATAGATTTTGACAAAACTACATCTCAAAAAGAATTCCTAGAACTTGAAGATGTATCTCATTTACCAATTCATAAGCTTACTTCTCACACTTTTCCATGTGGAGACACCTGAGATTTAAATGAGGGTACATGGCTTGTTAGAGATGTAAGATGGGCTAAACCCAGGTTCTCTGATATCAATGCTGGACTCTTATTATTACATCACACTGAAAATTATGTATTATCTTAGATTACACATTACATGCAAATACATATGTTTAAGTGTACATACAGATATATACACATATGTAGAGATGAAATTTTTAATTTAGTGTGATGGAACAAAGCATATAATCACACAGATGTCCTTTTGTCACTAGTGTCAGCACCAGCAGTGGCAAATGCCAGAGGCCACTTAGGAAGAAACAGAAGGGATATTTTTCAATAGGAAAAGCTTTATCTGAATAAATACTAAGTACACAGACTATAGCCATTTGTCTGCTTAATCAGAAATAGACCTTATTAGGGTAAGCTGGCTTTACAAGTCTTAAATACCCAGAAAGAATTCCTACTGATACTGCAAATGAACAAGGAAGGAGTCAAGACAACTGGTTGTAGATTCTAAGTGTTCTGTAACAGATGGTAAATAGAAGGCAATTTCCCCATCTACTGCACTGTAAAATTCTACAGGTAACTGATAGGCATATCTGTGGATGTTCAAATCCCTGATAGGACAAGAAATCAGGCCATTATGAAAACCAAATATTAAACAGGACTGATGCTATAGATATACTTCCACAATGAACAGTTAAATACCATGAAACAATATAACAGATGATACATTCGTATATGTACCATTGGCTACTTGTGTAGCCAATTCCTCCAACTCTCTTCCCACAAATAAAGAAATGCTATACATTAAGGAAACGTTTTTTAAAACATCAACTATCTGAGTACTATAGAATAATTAAATATAAAAGGCATTTTGCACAAACCAGAAAGGAAACCATGATGTGAAGGAAGTGGTGTACTAAGAACTCTGTGGCCACAGGTACTTCTAGGCAAATCATTTATACGCTTTCTTTTTAGTTCTCACAATAAGCCATTGAGCTAAATATATTTCTTTAATTTTTGTGAAATATATTTTAAAAACTGAGGCTTTTGGAAGACAAATTTGTTCAAAGGTTTCCGTTACTATTTAAAGTTAGATTTATTTCTTACTAGCATATTTCATGAAATGGAGAAGGAACATGTTGGGTGTTCTTTAGTGGCAGAGAATGAGTAGGATGAGTTGGGGGTAGTGGTGCATGTTTGTAATCCCAGCACTTAGGATGTTGAGGCAAGAAGATCATGAGTTTGAGGCCAGCCTGGGCTACACAGTGTTTTGTTTTGCCTCCCAAACAAAATAAAATAAAAACAAAAACAAAAAAGAAACAAATAAACCCCCCAAAGCCAAAAAAAGAATAGTGGAGTGAATTTGGGCTCTTAAAAAGAGGAACAGAAAAGATGACAGAAATTATCTCATCCCCAGTCCTTTGTTGCTTAAGCAGGCTTTTATAATTAAAATTAACCATGCTATAAAGTATCGAAGTTAAAGCTAACAATGCCAGGAGTGCTCAAACTTTATCAAAATGTCACCACATAAACTTTAAAATGTTAGTGTTCACTTCTAGAGTTATATGAAACATGTTTTCTTTATATTCAGTAATAGAGCAAGCAAGCAAGGAATTTGTTACTTTTCAAATCAAGCTCTATATGCATGATACTCAGCTTTACCAAGAGTCTAACACATGTGAGTAACTGGAATATTTTATAATGAAGATGCTAAAATTAACCAAATAATGACATTGTATCTGAAGCAATGATAAAGTGGGAAATAAAAATATATATTACCTGCAGTAATCTCTTTGCTTAGCGACCTTGGCCAGGGAGAAAATGCAGTCAACAGTTGCTAGGTGATGCACTGCTTTACACAAAGAATGGTAATGTTGACTGAAATTCCTATAGAAACAGCAATGACAAAATGAGGTGGTGAGTTTCTCACACCTATAGAAGTTATGCAAAAAGTAATTACTTGACAAGTTAATATAAGCACGAACAAATAAGGAATCATACCTAACAGGTAAGAGAGGTGAGCTATCTTTCTTTTTAATACAACTAGATTATGGAGGCTATTTTGTTTTGTTTGGGATAGTTACAGAAATTTAAAATATCTTCTATATAAAGATGCCTGGTATTTATGCTGTATGGCATCTGACCATGACATTTCAACTTAGACATAATTGACAAAAATGTAAAAATCAATTCAGCTTCAATAATATCCTGAACTACTCAGATGGGTCATCTTCCCTTTGTGCTCCTGTACAGCAGCACCCAAACCTGGAATAGCGGTTTCAATACCTCCCACACTGAACTGGAAGCTGCTCCAAGGCTGAGCTCAGGTCTCTCTGACTCACCCACCATTGTAGTCCTAACATCTAGTCCCTATGCCTGGCATGGAAGAGACATTGTAATAAATAGACAAGAAAGAAAAAGCTATCCTTTTCAGCTATCTTAGTTACCTTATTAATAATGCATATAAAAATAAAATTTGGGTTTTTAAGAAGACTGCCTCAAATCTTTGACCAATTAAAACTCTCATACCTAGTGATCTAAATCCCAAGAGTTTTATTCAAAGATTTATTGAGGAAAAGTATAGGAATGTATATTTAGTGTTTTTTCCATTTTCATATTCTTTTTCACCTAAATTACCCCATGATCTCCCACCATAGTGTGTTATGTCCATGTGAGCAATACTGTATAAATTGTGGATATCTGTATGTAATGATCAATTGTGAATTCTGAAATATACATAATTATGTTACAAAAGAACCCAAAACTTAATTGCTTAAATGCCCAGAAAAAATATCTTTTTAAGTAAAGAGAAAATATATAATTGAACTTAAATCTTTACAATAACTACTCTGCTTCCAAGAGAGATTAAGAGACTTTGTCCAATCAAAAAAAACTATAGGTGGTGTTAAGTCATAAATTCTTCAAAGACTGAAAATGAGAGAATGTAAAGATAACTAAATAAACTATAAATAAGGTCCAAAAGAAAAGCTAAAGAGAAACCAGTATTTACTAACCAGAGACTCTGGTATCCTACATTATTTCTCTACAACAACCATCAAGGTAGCTCTTCATTACCTAAGTTTTACAAATGAAGTGCAGTGAGATTAAGCAATTGGCCTAAAGTCACACAGTTATTAAACAAAAGAGTCTAGATTCAAACTATGTTCTTCGTTTGTCCGCCCTCCCCACCCTTCCCACACAGCTGAGGATGAAACCCAAGAGAACGATGAATGCTAGACAAGCCCGAGTCACACCCCTCACCCTAAACTACACTGTGTATAGACCTTATGTCACAGTACAATTCAAAGAGACTCCTACTAGCAACTTTGCTATTTTTCGTACATACGTAGAAATAAACTAGAAATAAGGTAAGTTGCCTGCTTTCTGCAAAAAGTTGTAGTATAGTTCAGCTATCCCTTACATGAAAAGAAAGGAGGGAGGGAAGGGGAGAAGAAGGGAAGGTAGCGGTACACTGAATGCCTCTCTTGAAAAATATTTCTGTATTATAGAGTTGATTTCAGAAATACTGGGTTTTAGTCTATTTGCTTCTTAAATCTAGAGGTTTGTAGATTGTTTCCTAGTTTGAAAAAGATATTAGATTGACTAATTCTACATGAATAATATTTTCCATATACTAGGAAAAAGTACCTTAATTTCATATTATGTATTTGTAAACTGAAAAAAATATATTTATGGTATACACTTCTTTGAGGAGATACATTATGATTCATTTATCTGCTTGTCACTGAATTAAAGTTCTTTAAAACAAACAACATGAATTCCTCTAGAGTGTGAGAATATGTGCAAATCCCCAAACACATGGTGGATACACCCCTCTCATTAGCTGGGCACTCCTCAGATTCCACCTTCAAAATGCTGCCTTGATCTGAAGGTGCACCATGTGGTGCAGACAGAACTTTCTGGCTGGCTGCATGGTGCCTAGGCCTTTTTGTTCCTGGTCTGACCCCTCATTTAACCTTTGGCCTGTGGCCTGTGCTTTCCTGTCCTAATTACTGACCTGGTTGTCTTCTCCTGGTACCCTCTCTTGCCAGAGAGCAGTCATATTTGATGTTTTGCCTTTGCTTCTCTGGACATGAGAGATAATGTATTGTGGCACTAACAAATGATATATATATATTGTTTTTCTTCTTCTTCTTGCTTCTTCCTTCTCAGGCTCTGCCCAGGCCACCAAGACCCTAATTTGCTATTACTCAGCATCCCAGAGTTGAGGATGACTGTCTTTCATGATCTTCTAATTTTAGGATGAAATGAATGATGCAGATGTAGCTTTCAGTGAGTACCATTTCAGTTAAAAAAAAAAAGCAAAGAGGGACAGATAATGATTTGGATATGGACAATAATATTTTTTCTCATGTCAGTGATATAAATAAGATGTGAATAAAATGAAAAGCTTTCTAAATTTAAACATTATCATAACTCTTAAAGAAGTCTTGTTTAATTTCTTGGTGTTTGTCATATTGCTATACCTTGCAAAATTTCAAACAGATTTAGCTATACTTAGAAAAATAACGAGCTGGGCTAGAGGTATAGCTCAGGTGGAAGAGTGAACTGCCTAGAAGGCATAAGGCTTGGAGTTCAAATCCCAGTACCATAAAGAAGTTGAAAAATAGGGAATTCAGATAACCATCAGAAAGACTGACTTTATACCATAACAATATACAACTATATGACTATGTCATTAGGTTGAAGTCTAAGCACAATAATTTTATTTGTGATCAAAAGAGATGTCTGTGTCCATGGGAAGCAGATAAAGTTCAAAGAAGCTGCTCTGATGATCAAAGAAGGTTGCTATCAAATGTTGCCCAATGATATGTATGAGAGGGTAATAAGAACGGAAAACATCTTATTTTACTTGCAAATACATTTCAAAAATATGTGAGCTGTGATGAGAGATACTGTAGTTCAATTTTTAAAGAATTTGCAAGTGAGAAAATTAATCTTACTCCATATTCTAGAACACAAAAGAAGAGACATATTTTGAGGAAGGATTTCATTCTCAGCAGTGTTTACAGCCTGAATTATTTTTTCCAAGATTTTGATCAAAAGCCATATGACTAATGGACAGCAGTTAGTACCTCGGAAAGAGATAAATAAACTTGATGGCTGGTGCTCAATCCTCCAATGTCAGGCTCGTTGAGGTTAATCATCTTTTCATGACATCATATTCACACCATCTGGCACCTCCGTAAACAGTGCGCATCACAATCAATGCTGCTCTTGAGTGAAGCCCAAGCTGCAAATGTGCTAGCTAAATTTCAGCCAATATTCTTTTTTTGGATTAAAAACTTAAATATACTTTTTTATATTTACTGTTTTTAAAAAATCTATCTTTGAGACAGGATCTTGTTCTATAGTGTAGGTTGGTTTCAAAATTACAATCCTCCTACCTTGGCTACCCAAATGATGGAATTATAGGCATGTAATACCATTGCTGGCCTATAATTTTTCATTTTAAAAGTAATACGTGTACTTACATGTGTTATAGAAACTTCTGAAATCATCTACTTACAAAATAAAGTGAAATCAACAGTAACCTCACCATCCAAAACTAATCAGCTCACATTTTGAATCTATGTGCAGAAGGTCCCCAACTTATGATGGTTTGAAATAAAACTTTTTGACTTTATAATAAGGCAAAAATGATACCCATTCAGTAGAAATTGTACTTTGATTTATGAATTTTGATTTTTTTTCCCTAGGCCAGTGATATACAGTATGATACTCTCTCAAGATGCTCAACTATAAGCTAATATAAGTGTTGTGAGTACATTTCAAGTATCTAGGCTAAGTTAGGATGTTTTTTAAATTAAAGGTATTTTGACAATATTTCCAACTTATGAGTTTATCAAGACATAACCCTAACATAAATTGAGGAGCATCTCTCTGTATCTGTGAGTATGAGTGTATATACACATATGCATTTCTTTAAAAATATACCCATGGCTAATAAGCATGTTAATAATTCAGTAACAAGCATATATAGCCAACCTTTAAAAGATACAAAGGTTTAAGGCCTGAGGCATGACACAAGTGGTAGAGTATCTACCTAGCAAGCATGAGATTCTGAGCTCAACCCGAGTTCACCAAAATATATATGTTATATAATATATAATATATAATAATATATAAATATTATGTATAAATGTTTACATGCTGTGTATTATATGAATATATATATACAAAGTTGTATCACATTTCAATATTGTTTTATATCTTTTTTTACTCGAATTATACCATGAGTATAATATTCTTCTGAGGTGTTAATACTTAATGTTCACTCTTAGCAACTCTTTCAATTACAGCACAGGGGTGGAATGATGAAAGCAGTTTTCTCCTGAGTTAATCCAGTAGAAGGGCCCAGTCAGGAGGCTGATGCAATAAGGATAGCATGAATTCTTACAGTGGAGTACCAGAAGAGAAAGGAAGAGAAAAATCAAAGAGACATTTCAAAGGGAAAAAAGACAACTGAGAATTGGATAACAGGTAACAGATGAAAGGGAAGAATCAAGGATAGTACCAGGGTATTTAGCTTGGAAAACATAAACTTTCTCTAGCTTGGAATACTGATGGGGAAGACATCAGCCAGATCTATGAAATCATACATGCTATGAAGACAGTGAACATGGAATCACTTAACCAAACCCCAAGTCACTTCTACCATGTGGCCCTTGAAGCTTGAAAGGTATAATTTTAGTCCAGTTTTCATAGTGTCAGTGATAGTAAGAAAAAAGCCAGGAAAACTGAAAGGTTCAAGAATTCTTAAAACAGAAAATTGAAAATGAATTGGAAAAAGAACCAAACAGGCAAATTTCTATCCCTTTACTTCTTTGGTGTTTTTGTTTTGCTTTATTATTCACTTTTGGGGATTGAACCCAAAGCTTCATGCATGCTAGGGAGGTGCTCTGCTGCTGAGCTGTACCTCCAGCCCTAAACTATACTGTTTATATTTCCAACCTCACACTGCAATGCTATGACACCCCTGCTAACACCTTTGCTACTTTTATACACAGATAGAAATAAATTAGAAATAAGATAAGCTGACACATCTCAAAAGATTCAGGATAAGTAACTAGAAAACTGGAATCTCTTACTGGCTTTATAATTTAAGACTCCTCTGGGAAAAAAGAGTATCTATTTTCTGCCTTTTAAAAACTCTTAATATCTGTCTATCTATAACATATATATATAAACAAATGCAGCAAAAAATTAACATCTGCCAAATCTAAGTGAAGAATGTATAGATGGTCATTTCAACTTTGTGCATTTTTAAAAAAAATTTTAAATAAAAAGCTAAGAGTAAAATATACAGGATATAAAAAATTAGAAAAATTAAATAGATAATAAAACCAAAATAACTAACCCATACTTGCCCAACTCTGAGACATTAAATCATTAATAAGAAAGGTAAATTCCAAGATAGAATTTCAAAAACTCACTCTACTAAACATCATTAGCAATAATGTGCATTTGGTCTCTCTCGTCAAAGAACTAAGAGGAGCTTATATTTCCATAGATTAAAAAGAAAATCCGAGAACATAAGTATTCCACTATTTTATAGCAGGTCACAAGCAGTAACTGCTACTTTTCTTTTTGATGGAAAGATTTTCCGGTCTATTTCTTTTAGCAAAAAGTCAGATTATATTTTTCATTGTGAACTCACTCTAGAAAATCAAGCCATTCAGCATTGCAGTCAAGGACTAGCTGCTCCCGGAGCTGATTCAGTTGTCTATAATGTTCTACAATAAAAGGAGAGTGAAAGCGGCTCACAACTTTTGTGCTAGAAAAGGGGAAAAACATAAATAGGAAATCAAGGTTAGAAGAATCAGCAAATGTCATCATTTCAGAAAATTAAAGCAATTATTTATTATTCACTGATGAACCTTGAATGTAAACAGAGAACATTCTTTATTTATGGTCCTCAACTACTGATTCTAAAGAACATGACTGTTCAGGAAGGTTTTTCAGTACATTTTATATTATACCCACATGGCAAAGTCAGAGTTTAGAATTTTTATTTCATAGGCAAAGGCTTTTTGTACCTTTAAATTATGCTAAATGAAAATGCTTGCTTTTAAAAAAACAAGATCAGAAGCAAATGTAACAAAGAGGGTGGGACAGAGCTCAGAGGTACATACATTAGTGAAGGTCATATTATTCTTGGTATTTTATACTCTTCTGTTTAGCGTATTTCAGTTAGAAAAGAAAAATGTAAGGCATCACAAATAACAGCAATGCATAAATTCAGGAGGCCAAGAAAGAGGAGGAGTTCTTTAGGGTGCAGTGGCCCTAGGTGGGAAGAAATACCACATGTTCCTTGTCTGGGCTTTAGTACAATCTCTGCTTTCTTTCTCAAGAAGTAGCAGAACACAATGGGGGCTTCCAGGGATCCCCAACCAGAAGATCCAGGCCAAGGCCTTGAGCTTGCCACTACTACTTCTTGTAACTTTGGGTAAATAGAATGGACTTTTTCTAAACAGCCCTTTCCTCATCTATTAAATGGGGATTGCAATAGCACTTATATCACATACTGCTGAGAGGGTCAAACAGAAGGGCTTAGCAGAGTACCTAGTTATCAGTACTCAGTAAGTATTAGGTGGTTCCTACTGCTGTTGATACCATTATTATGGTAAGTCTTCAGGAAGAAAAGGTCCAGTGTACTCCTATAATACGCTGTCAGATTATCTTTAATTTGGCAAACTACTGGGCATTCAAAATCTGACTGGTGATATTTTAACTTATCCTTGTGTCAAGGTCCTGTTGACCAAACAACAGACAAAACACAGTAACAAACCTTCCCCAAACCATCTTATTTGTTCACTGAATTTACATTATTGAATGTTCAAAGACATTGGCACTGATTTATGCCTTGCCTGTTGCATTTCAATTATGTCATCTAGACTTCTATGCAAACATATTATCATAGCTTTCTCTTCTGGCAAAATCCATTTAGTGAGACATTTCCACTGTTGCTCTAAATAGACAAATATGATTATTAGCAATGTATCCTCAGAAAGCATGTTTCATTTATTAGCTTTTTTAGGGGACAAAAGTAGATAAGGGAAAGGATGGTTGCAAGGGGAGAAAATACCCCCTAAAATCAACAATCCTCAAATCTACAGCACAGCTTCTGGTAGCATGGGGAAAAACATGATATGAGAGCTAAACAAATCTAGCTTGTGCCTTCAGTGTCTGTTGCTGTGGCAATGGATAATGCTTTTTTTTAAAAAAATTACAACAAGAAATGAATAACCACACACCATGTTAAAATTTCCCTTCATCCCCTCCATAGATTTCCTTCACACCTTCACCAGACACTTGTCTCTCTAAAATTATCTTAGGCCAATGCAACGTTTTCATTTCAGGATCACATTTATTAATAACAGGACCAACAAATACTCCAAAAAGGATACTACTCACAGGAATACATACTTCTCTAATACTGCTTCCTTAAATTAATGCTAGCCAAGGAAAGGGCAGAGTTTTAATGTGCTTCTCTGATTTTGCTTTTGATTAATTTATTTTCATCAGTTAATGATATTACAAAAAAAAAAAAAAGTAAAGCACTAGCCAGGCATGGTGGCATAGGTCTGTAATCTCAGCACAGAAGGCTGAGGCAGGAGGTCAGTCAGGGCTACACAGCAAGGTCCTGTCTTAAAATTCACAAGACACCTCACAAAAGACAGTGCTAGCCTAGCATGCACAAAGCCTTAAGTTCAAAGTCGCAGTACCACAAAAAAAAAAAAAAAGATTCTAACTATGTGCCAAGAAAAGCATTAAGAATAAAGAAATGTAAAATTCAGTGAGGTAGAAAATGAAATTTTCAGCTTCCTCAAAGAAATGTCAGGCACAGCATTCATCAAGAAGCTCAGGCTTACAAATAAATCTTACAACTGAAGGGTCCTCAACTCTGTTCCCTTGTATATTTAAGTTACAGGGATAAAGCGGTAATTTACAAAAGAAAACAAACATATAAAAATAAGATGCACTTTTGAAAAATAATTTTAAAGTAATGATAAAAATCAATAAAGGTAATTACCTCTGGTTAAAAGTTCCATGAGAAAAGCAAAGAGAAAATACTGCTCTGACCTTCAAGAATGTGGCTACTATCAGTGCAGAAGCACACAGATATAGTCACATTGTTATAATTCATGTTAGAAGAAAGAAATACTTTTAAGCCTACCTTCCAACCTTCACCCAGTCAGACGGTATGCAAGATATGGCAGAGTTCTTTACTTCAATCATAAACTAAAACAAATGTAAATGAACAGAGATATTTAAATGAGTAATCACTACATTTTTTAAAGCTATCTCAAAATTGTGGTATAACAATTTAGTGACTCTTCTAAACATTCAAAATAAATCCAATACTGGTTTTGGGAGAATTTGATATGCATCAGTGTATCTGATTAATTAGGGTTTCAATACCCACAATAAGGTATTATTTGTATTCATCAGTAGGTTTGCAATAAAGGGTATTACTAGGGACTTCAGTGTTTATAGGTTGTCATGTGCATACTATGAATGGTGATTTTTCAATAATAACATCTTTTATTCATAAGAATCCACTAAGAATTCTATTATTCAGATCAGATTAAATTTCTACCTATATAAAAATTTTTAAATATTCAATTATTAGATGTAACACTATCTTTAGTGCTATGGCCCCTCCCCTATTCTGAATAGAAGAGGATTGTTTTACATAATAGTTTTTATGTAAGAAACCTGAATTCTCTAAAAGTATCCTCATAAAGACAGCCTGGGCCTCCCCAAATGCAGATAATTTCTTCCTGTATGAGCGTTTAGGCTGTCACTTATAGCGACCCTGTCTTTTCAGATTCACCTGTGATTGGCAAACAAGCTGCTCTGACATCAGCCAGGAAGCAAGTCAAGTTCTTCCATCACACCACTCATTTTTAGCACTAGCTACATGTCATCTCAGGGTGCTCACATCCTGCATGATAGCAAAAAAGCTTCCAAAAAGCTTACAAACAATCTAAACATTTTGTTTACAGATATTTTTAATCCACTTTTGTACAGGATAGAATCCAGAAGTTCTGGGGCTGTCGTTAATTTTCAGATGACTCTGGAAACATTTTTTACATTTATCAGTTTTATGATGTGCATACAACTTCAGGAATAATAGTCATATTCTTAGTAGTATCCTGTTCATCTGGTTATGAGTTTATTTTTCCATTATCAGAAATGCTGATGCTTTTACATTGATAGCTAATTTTAAGAATTTTCATCCTTAGCAAAAGTTGGAATTAATGAAGTCCTTGTCTAAAGAGAATTAATACGGTTTTGATTCTGCCACACTCAATTATACAGTTAAGGGTGAAGACGGAGATGGGAAGATGATAGACTGGAAAGCCCCAGCACTTTCCTGTGTCTCCACAAGTCTGAAACAAAACATCAGGTGTGGGCCAGGTGTGATGGCTCACATCTATAATCCCAGTTACTTGTGCTCAGAAAGATCACAGATTGAGGCCAACGTGGGCAAAAAAGTTAGTAAGACTCCATCTCAACCAATAAATTGGGTGTGGTGGCACATGCCTGTCATCCCAGCTACATAGGAAGATCATGATCCTAGCTGGGCCTGGCAAAAACTCAACACCTATCCAAAAAATAACTAAAGCAAAAAGATCTGGGGGCATGGCCCAAGTGGTAGAACACTTCCTGAGCAAGAACAAGAGCAAGGCCTTGAGTTCAAAACACAGTATCACCAAAAAGTAAAGAAGGGAAGGAAACGAAAAGAAAAAGAGAAGAAAAAAAAGGCTTCTCTGACTGCTTTATACATTTACACTCCTTGGTGGGCATGCACCTGCTGACTCCAACATTTTGCATGCCCAACCCCACACTGTCAAAGCACCTGGTGCAAGGTGGTATCCAGCAGCAGTCCTGGGGCTCAGATGGTGGGAGTAGCCTAAGGGTAGCTTCTACTCTGGCAGCATTGCCTGGCCTACATACAGACAAGCACTCAGACCAGTAGTGGTCAAAACAGGGAACCTGCCCTGGCAGAAAAGGCAAGGGGTCTCAGCCTACAAACAGCTTTCTTTGGTTTAACCTGTTGGCTCTTCAGAGAGAAACAACTCACTAACCTTTTATACCAAGTAAACCTCAAATAAGAAAGAAGTGAAAATCTCTATCCTCTGCCTCCACAACAAGGAAGAAATACTGACTGGTCTTTTTTTCTTTTCATCTCCCCCTCCCTCTGCACTTTTTCTGGATTGTTTTGTCTTGCTTCGTACTTATTTTATTGTGTTCCCTTATGAGTATTTCTTATACCTTCATCCCATACACATTCCCTCTCTTTCCTCTTGTTTCTTCTCTACTTTTTCCTTTCCTCATTTCCCCTTCCAAAGGTCTACTCTAGAGGCCATCAGAGCTCCAGCAAGCTGCCATATGCACAGCCAATACAGGATGGAAATCAGATAGTGTCAGGAAAGCCCACTGGATCTCCCACTGATTAAGTCCCTGTGGTCACATGCTGTCATGCAGCTTCAGGTTTTCAAACAGAATTCTTCCTCAGACTTGTCATCCACCAGTTTTTTTTTTTTTCTCAGCTATACTAGCTATAGAACAGGGAAATTTCTTTCTAATTACTCCTTTTTTCAAACATTCTAAGAATGAGCAGGCAGGCCTTTTATTTAAGGATTTTAATGCTGAAGAAAACTAACAGAAAGTAGCACATATTCCAAAAAGCTTAGAAAGAGTTCTCACAAGAATATTCCCTGCTCTGTAGTTCCTGACTATATTTCTCAGGTATTAATATGAGATGTATGCCCTGGTTCGTTCTAGTAGTCTCTCATATTCTCCTAGGACCCAATTCTATCTTGATTAAATGTCAGACATTGTTATCCAAACTACAGCCTGTGGTATCACTGGGCTGGCATTATTGCTAGGTTTGCTGAAATTCTTAACTCACTCCAAAATCACTTCCTGTTTTCTCCAGCACCACACTTAACCCATTGCTCCCCCCCCCCACTTTTCTTTCTCATTCTCTCTTGATAATTTTCAAATGTTTTTTATTTACAAGACTTAATGAGAATGTTTCTTACATCTTTAAACACACTAAACAGATGCCTGCACATGCTACATGCAGTGAATTAGTAAAAATTCTCCTGAAGATTTTTCCCACTATTTCCTTCCTTTTCCTTTATGAATAATGCTACTTATCAATACTGTCCTAAGTCTAAATACTGCCCCAAATCCATTATTTGATTTAAGGTTGATCCATTATTTGACTTAATTCTTTACTAGCATAAAATATGATACAGACTATGAACTATGTTCATGGAGCAGTGAACTTTGTAAAACTACGTAAGTTTCTCCTTTCATTAGATTCTTAAAAACCAATACTTTCAGAGTCATCACAGACTCTGCTAGAGTAAGTAACATTATAGTAAGTCTATAAAAAATGGGAGTGGGCTGGAGGAGTGGCTCAAGTGGTAGAGAACCTCCCTTGCAAGTAGGAAGCCCTGAGTTCAAATCCCAGTAACAAACAAACAAAACCAAACCTGGGAGCAGAAGTAAAAAAATGAATGTTGTCAAGAATAACATTGGCTCAACAGTCTGGCACATTTACCTCTCCGTTTTTGGTAATAATGCCAAAATCCATAGTCTACAAGGGACTCCTTCAATAGATTTAAAAAAAAAAAAACTATAACGAAAACCATGTTTGGAAATAAAATTTGAGATGGAATAGAAGGCTATAAAATCAGCAGCACATATACATAAAGAGTAAGAGTCTCCCCCCCCGCCTCCTTTACTTCTCAAAAGTAATCATACTTGATAGAGTTTATGCTTAGTCTTTTAAATAACTCCAAATAATTTTCCAATACCTTTAGTCCCTTTGTTAAACAAAATTTGATTATAACAATTCTCAAAATTTAGAATTCATTGGGGGTTTAAATAAGAATCATTATTTCTCAAAAAATTATAAAAGTAATACTGTATTAATATACTAATAAAATTCTGGAGGAAGCTGTTAAAAATCAACAAGAATTTATCCTATTGTTAGTAACAAAGAAGTTTCTTTCCTCAAACTCTTCTCCTTGACCTACTAAAGGTATAAAGAGTAAGTGTAGCTCAAGTAGCCGTGCACTTGCCTAGCAAGCATGAAGCCCTGAGTTCAAACCCCAGGACCAACAAAAAAAAAAAAAAAAAAAAAAGAAAGAAAGAAGATAATGTGTGAAATACTTAGCACTATTCTCAATTTTAACTAGTGGCTGATAGGTGGTAACTACAGTACTCTTGTTGTAATTATGTGAATAACATAAGCACAGTACTTTATGAGTGGAAGGCACTTTCATGTATTAGTCTCACAACACAGGTGACTCTTCCATGGTCAGGTAGCACAAGTGGTAAAATGGCACTCACATTCAGCATTGTCCACTGTAATACCAGGATGCTACATTTCCAGTACATATACTTTATTAATGGTATTAAAGCAAGTGTGATCATGTGATTTTCACCACAGAGCCAGAATAATGGCTCTTAGGTGAAGGTCATAATCACATCGTAAAAACAGGAAATAAAATTATGATGTCTGCATGTTTGGAACATAAACACATAAATACTATGAAATCACTTCTTCCTATTACATAATGCTCTGTGTGGAACACACTTTGTGAAATGTCTGGCTGAGTATAACATCTTCATAATTTACAGAAAACAATGGTTAAATCTATTAAATGTATCAGATCATAAACATTTTAATAAAGATTATCATTTGCTGTTGTTTATTTCAAGTACCCAAAGAATCAACACTCCCTTGGTAAAACGCACAATGCAATGTAAATATTAAGAAACTTGGTTTGAAATTAAGCTTTTCCCCACAAGTAAAAGATACATTTTAAATCCTCAGTGAAATGTTCATGTTATAGAAATTATTCATAAATTTCTCAAATTGTTATTTGACAAAGTAAAATTTCTCAAATTCTCACAAGTGGAATCTTCACATTAGTTATAAGGCATGGATGAGCACACCTTCAAGAATCAGAACAGGACTGCAAGATACAACTACATTTGATTTTTTTTGGCACAGTGGTTTAAATTAAAGCATCATGCTTACTGGGCAAGTGGTCTACTCCACAAGCCCATACAACCCACATTTAAAAAGCACTTCTCTTTGTTTTCTGATTATCATTCAGATGTTAAAATCAGAAAAACACATTCAACAGCATCATAATCTTTGGAAGGCTCACTAAATACGGGTTTTCACTCCATGTGCTTTTTAAAATTCCAATTATATTCCTAACTTCAGGGAGAAGTGCTGCCATTTCATCACTGTGTAACCAATGAATATGGTGGTCCACTTGGTTGTCATTTCATCATCTGTAAGCCAGACATCAAAGACTAACTGCTCTCTCCTGAATTCAGAAGAAGTGAATTTTCAAAATTACTATTCCTAACAATCAAGATTTTTCCCTAATATAATTTCAACAGGTAATACCAAAAGACATACAACATTAAGTTTCATGAATGTACAAAGATATTATCATTAAATTTTTAATAATTTATAATTTTAATGATTGTCATCATTAAGATATTTCTTACCCAAATAAGTTATTATAGCATATTTCCAAGGAACAAAACAGAAAGCTTGGAAATATGATACGAACATCTTCAGATTTTCATTTACATTTTAAAATAGCTTTTCCATATAAGGCAAGCTGATGCAAAATAAAAGTATTTTGACATTACCTCCTGTCCTGATACTGTCACATATTGTGCAGAAGGATTTTTCAGTATTTTTCGTATTTCTTGTAAATGTATTTGGATTTTTTCAGTAACTTCTTGGATTTCATCCTTCCTCTTTCTTATCAAAGGAAACTCTGAAAGGTCTTTAAATAATTCAGTTTTATTCCCAATTCTAAAATATGGAAAAATGCAAATACATATATTGAAACACATTAATTAGACCAGCTATGAATTAGTTTTTGTAGCATGATGAAAGACCAAAGGGCTGAAAATCAGGAAAATGTGTTTCTAATTTCAGCTCTGCCACCTAATATTTATGGGGACATTTCTTAACTTCTGAATTGACATAATTACCCTTGTATCACTTTTATTTTGCAAGCTCATAAGTTCCACAATGAAACTAAGAGATAAAATTAAGTATTAGTCATTTGCCTATTCAAAAAATAAAGACAATGTAAATGTCAATTCTTTTTTCTTTTATGTAGATCTCCTTGTGGGGTGTACCGTGCAGTGACTGCCCTTTAAAGGATAATTTTGCTTTTGCAGATTCTAAGCACAGGCAGACATCTTGGGATATCTAGGACATGAGAACAGGATGCCACCTGACACCCATTCCTGAGCTACTGAACTTGGCTCTCCCTAGGCTTTATCTTTCCATCACCTGATACCTGTCTTAGATGTGGAACTGCCTGAGTTTACACAGGAAAGTGTTACTTCAGCTGTAATGTAAAACTTTAGTATCCAATCACATTATTCAAGCAGAGATTGAGAATCCACACATCAAATGGCAGGTGCACTGGACCATGTTCACTGACAGAAAGCAAGAAGTGAAGGTCTGTACTTACTTAGCAGCTTGTTCATTAAGTATCTTTAAGTAATGGTCCACTGGCTTGAGGAGTTCAGGAATTTCTAAAATAAATGTTTGGAGCAACTCTGACTGAACGTGGGCATTAACAGCAGGTATTAATGCTTGAAATTCTGACTTTAGGTGATATAGACTTTTGACAATCAAGAAGAACTCTTGGGTAGAACACTGAAAAGAGAAATTTTTGGAATCTAAATAGCATAAGGTACGTGAAAATGAACTTCAATTGTATGAATAAAAATGGCATAATGAAACCCATTAAAATTGTAAAAAAAAATTTAAAAGGAGGGGATAAGAAAGAATAATAGAGGGTGGTGAATATAATCAGTCATTACATGCATGTATGGAAATATCAAATGAAATCCCTTAGTACAATTAATATATGCTAACAATGGAGCATAAGGAATTACAATCAGAATAAATGAAAATTTTCCTAACTAGTTAGCTGAGAGTTAAACTCTCACTGAGAGTTTAAGTGAGGTTAAATACTATATAATATTTTAAACCTGTAAGAAAATAACTTGAGCAAGAGATCAGAAAGTCAATACTTGTTTGATATATTTTTTTACATTTTTAATACATTGTTTGCCACATTTTTTTCTATATGGCCAATGCCAAAAACATAGAGGCCAGTTCTAAAGGAAATATCTCTAAGTCATATGAGAGAGAAACAGCAAAATCCTGTTAAACATAATGGGCTCTTACGATGAAAAATCCAAAGAACAGTGGCTAAATAAATTAAATGTATAGCACAGAGAGATGAAAGACACTGGCCAATAAATACATGATTAGCTTTATGCAAAATTAAAGATAAGCAAATTAAAACCACAGGGTAGTATTTGTCACTTACCAAAATGTCAACAATTTAAAAGGTTGATAATACCCATGTTACAGGTGTAATACACTATTAAAGAACCATAACCTTTGGAAGAACAAGTTGACATACAGCTTCATAATTTTTAAACTGCACATATCCGTTGACTAAGCAATTCCAATTTAAAGACTTTATCTAAAAATATACTTTAACAAAGACTGAAAAAAATCTGTGAATCTGAATACACTATTTATCTGAGTAACAATGTTTATAATAGTATTTAAAAGGTACATACAAGACAAATATCAGTTGGGATCCTAGTAGGAAAAAGTCACAAAAATGTAATACCATGAAACAGTTAAAAGAATTAAGATATCTGTATATATTGACATGGAACTGCATTATTTCAACATATATTGAGTATATAGTATACTTATATAGCATATATTTATATACATTTACACAGTAACTCTTTAAATGATCTGCAATAATGAAAACTGTAAATAAAAATTCCTAGAAGGATACACATGCAACTAACTCTGGTTACCTATAGGTAGAAGGTATTGCAAAGTGGCATAAGAAGACTTTTACTATATTATAACCTTGTAGTTTTTTAACACACGCATGAGTGTGTAAAGGGTAGGCTGAACATGTGCATCTAAGCTCTCTCCATCTTGAAACTATAGTCAAGAGATTGTTTTAGAATGCATAAACCTCTAGAATAACTCAGAAAGCTGGCAGCAACAAAATCTTAGAAGCTGTAAACAGACAAGTAGTAAATGACTTAAAAGACTCAAGATATTAAGCTGTCCTTGAGGAAAACTAAGATACAACTCAATTTACACCAAGAATCCTAAATGACTCAGGAATTTGGTGCATAAATCACCTTTAGAAGAATGCAGTGTAATGGGGTAAAGAAAGATTAATTGAAAGCTAGTTAAGAAGCAATTAAATCCCATTTCCTCCCCTATTCCTCTCCGTGCCACTGAGCAACTACCTCTTCCCTACCCTAGAAGGAGACTAGCTTTATTCCAGGAGGGAGGTAAAACAGAAGGTGTCTGGATGAGCATTAGACCCAGGGAAGGATGACAGTACCACCAAAAGCGAGGGTATAAGGAATGGTTGCGAACTGAAAGCTGAGATTCCCAGTTGCCGCCTTCAAACTCCCAGAACACTGCTAGCCAGGCAAGAGGCTAAACAAGATATCTCAAGAGGAAAATTCTAAACAAAACTACAGCAGGAGTGCTCCTAAAAGTGGCAAAGTTAGGTTTACTTTATAGGTCTTCTTATGTTTTTAATAAGCCACATTCAACTATATAGGTCTTACTATCAGCATTCTGTTCCTCTTTTAAAAGATAATCAGATACCTGAGAAAAAAACTCTAACATGAAATGTAAACACCAAGAACAATAAAACTTGGCAGGAAAAGATGCTATATCAGCAGGAGAAAAAAACCCCAAAATTGATAATAATGTCAATTGAAATGAAGATATTGCAACCACAAAGCAGGAATGGGACAATAATCTGTTTTTTTTAAAGGGATATTCAGAGAAAAAAATAATGGAAATAAACAATAGTAGAAATGAAAAACTCAACAGAAGTAGAAGAAAAAGATGATGAATCTCCAAGAAGTTAAAACAAAAGTGTAAAGAGATGGAAAACAAAAAATACAGAAGAAAGTTAAGTAACCAGTCCAGAAGAGCCAATCAATTCAAATAAAATAGTTGTAAAAATAAAGAATTCACAAAAAACAAATCAGAAAAATTTCTCAGCACTTCATTAATTCAAGATACTAGACTGAAAGGATAGAATGGATGAAAACAGACCCAAATTAAGGCAAATCACTATGAAATTTTTTTAAAAACCAGGGATAAAGGGACTATTTTCCAATATCTGGAGGAGGTGAGGAACAAAGAAAAGAAGTCACACAGAGTTAGGAATCAGAAAAGCTTCAGGCCGCACAACAATAATAGAAGCTAGCAGACAGTGGAATACTACACAATTCTAAGGGAAAATAGTTTATAACCTAGAATTTTATACCCAGCCAAACTACCAGTCAAATATAAGAATGGGGAGAGGGATGACATTTCCAGATATCAATGTTTCAAAACTTTACTCCCAACACCCTCTAACACCTGTTCTCAAGAAGCTTCTAGGGGTTGTACTCTACCAAAATAAAGGACTATACTAAGAAAAAGACATGAAACAAAAAACCAGAAAGTTCAATTCAAGTATAGTAAAGGGAATCTATGATAGTAACTGCACAACAGGTATAGAGGGAAATCAGCTCAGACCGAATACCATCAGAAGGCTCTACCAGTTCTTTCAAGAACATAAAATGGACAGAATATTTAAAAACAAATATTTTAACGTGAAAGAATGACTTAAACTAATGATAGTACATAAAAGTAGTATAACAAAGTGGATTATTTCTAAGAATATATTCATAAAGACAATTACTAAATTAAGAGAAGAAGAAAAAGAAAAATAAGAAGTTAGGTCCAACTGAACAATAGTTGAGTTCAAAGTTTATAAAGAAGTAACCTCCTCTCCAGAAAGGCCACTTATTCTGGGAAAGACACAGCCTGCCATTATAGGAAGCTGGACTGTGTAAGTATGGACCCTGGAAGGGTTTTGGCCAGTAGTCAATTAATGATACATTCTAAAAAAAAAAAAGTCAAGAACTAAAAATGAATACTTTCAATATAATTTTTAAATAATAATCTCTTGTGATTACTATAATCTGATTATAAATTTTATTATATTTCCAAGCTCAGATATGATGCAGTTAAGTCAGCAATAGAAGCAAAGTAAAAACTGGAAGGACTTTGCAGTCAAGGACTTAGTGCTCAAGGCAGGTTGTTCTCAAGTTTCTTAAGCAAGAGAACTCAAAGGAATTATAAAGTAAGCTGGGAATATGGTTCTCAAGGTGGTTGCTCTGAAGCCACTCAAGTTCAGCCCCACTTTTGGCAGCAAACTTCTTTCTGGGAACTTTCAGAACAGAACCCCAAGAGTAGGCAGGGCATCACAGCACTGGAGAGAATGTAACCTGAATGCCACACTGGAAATGTGGCTCTGAGCTTAGCTCAGCCTAGCTAAGCAACTATTCTCACAAAACACTCTTCTCTCAACATTTGCAAAGTGCTATTATTCGTCAACCTTAGTAGTCATTCATTGCTTTCTTACAAAACAATTTTTGGGCAAAGTTAGTATGGGCTCCTGTGACTAGCAGTATTTTCTAAGTTTTGAATTTGAAATTTCATTATCACAGAAATGTATATTTTATACCAGGGTCAGTCCAATTGGTAAAGATAGATCATTATTAACCGTTAACACACCTATTTGCAAAGTCCACTTTCACATGGACAACAGGCCTAGGTTTCCCCCTTTCACAATATCCAAACAGAATGTTCCTTACCATTTTTTAAATTTCACGTAACTGGCACAACCTATACACAGGATATCACTATTGGGTGCATGTAGTAAAAATTTTATTTAGAGTGATGCAGTGATAAAGAACAGATGTGTTTGATGATATACTACAAGAGCCAGCTAACCAATCATAAAAAAGTAGTTTAAAGTATTCAACCTTTCTAAAGTTGGTTTGCTACCAAATCATTTCTACTCTTCACTTTTCAATCCAATTTTGAAGCACGTTCTAACCATTAAGAGGAGTGGCTTTTTTCCCCCAATTTTCTTGTTTTAATAGATTCAGAGAATTACACAAGGAATGGCTTCTGAGTGAGTCATAAGTTCCTTTGGTAAAATATATTTTGAAATTCCAAAGTAAAAGTCATCCTTGCATTGCTTATTGGTAGCTTTTAAAATGAATTAGATTGTGACTTTTATAGCATTTTTATGAAAGGCAAACATCAAAGTAAAAATCTAAAGAGAAGCAGCAAGGATAACAGAAATCACAGCAACATGGAATGCTGCTGCCACTTTGATGCTCTGAACATTTACACCTTGCTCTTTTGATTAACAACTGAAAGAAATTCTGCTCTGCTCCTATTTTCTTCAGAGAAAATCAACAGTCTCTGATATCTGTCAATAAATCCTTTCAAAAAGTGAAGGCAAGATGCTTGGAGATTGATGAAGTGCCTTGTTTGTCAGGCACTGGGCCAAGACACAAAATAACAAATGGTCTGGTACCCCTCTGTAACCCCAAAAGAATCAACCTGTCATTGCCAGTAAAAAATTAACACAGTGTACCAAGAAGTGGTACAACAGATTCCACCAACTACACAACCTACTCATGTATCCTTTTCCCTAGGATCAGTATTCCCAAATCTGGTTTGCACTTTGTTTTCAAATTTAGCTGATGCATATTTGGAACAGTTATGTAAGTCCTCTTGGGCACCACAAAAAAATCTTGGAGGCAGTACTTACCATTCTAGTAAAATTTTGTGGGGGAAAACAAGTCTTAAAAAAAGTAAATACTAGTGAAAAACTGGTCACACTAAAATTTGGGCAGTTAAATATTGCATTATAATAAAGTTATTAAATTGGCAAAGATTTACATTTGGGCAAAAAATAAAATTTGCTTATGAAAAGAGCCAACAAGGGACTGGTGGGATGGCTCAAGTAGTAGAGTGCCTGCCTAGCAAGTGTGAAGTCCTGAGTTCAAATCCCAATACAGCAAAAAAAAAAAAAAAGGGTTAATATGAAAAATAAAAAAAAAAGCAATGGCAGTCAAGACAACCACATCAAACATTGTAGCACACAAAAGATACAGCCACTAAAAAATGCAGTCAAGGACCCTGGATTAAATACAAATTCTGTCTGTTACTTGTTAGCAAGTACTAACTCTCAGCAGCATTGTATCAGCCAATATAATACGAGCTGTTGTTGGACTTTATATACATCATATTAGGCATAATTTTCTAGCAATAAGAAGGTGATAAAAAAAGTATTTTCTCAGGGTCATAGTTTTTCAAGAAACAAAGAATATAATGTATGTGAAAGATTTCTGCAAAAGGTAAAACATTTTTAAAAGTTTATTAACATTATAAATAGAACTATCTTTTTTTCAGGAATATTCTGATGATAAAATAAATTATTTTCCTGTGCAGAAAACTCCTTTTGTGAGTGCTATCACTTAAACTGTAAAACTAAGTGATAAAAATCAAAATAATTTTTACTCACCTTTAATATCTAAATTTGTTTCCATATTAGTATACTCACAAATGTTACACCAGCAGATTTTTCTTTTTCATTAAGTCAAATAAGAAATTAAGATCAAAGAAATTAGGCATTTCTTTTCTAAAGTAGCAAGTCTACGTAAATTTCTCATTTTGATAATGGTTTGCACTTTGAGGATGAAACAGTATCTTGCATAAGGACTTCTATATATGTTGCTATAGTTAAAAGAAGAGGGAAAACTTTACAAGTGTGAAAACTGGAACAACCTTAATTTGTCCAACTAAAATTTCTGAGAATTCAGCTATTCTCTCATGTTACTTGCAAGATTTTACAAAACAAAAAACAGTAACACAGAGCTCTCATGACTTTCCTTTAGTATCTGGTGTTCTCATATTGAGGAACATTACAAACTTTAAAAAAAGTGGGTTTTTACAGCTTACTTTTTTGTGGTAAATGCTGCAGAGTCCTCTCTCTATGTCAGGCAATTTATGTAGATGATTTTCTATCTGGCCAAACACACTAGATTCAGAATGGAGAACTTCAGATACTGCATCAAGTCGGGCATTTATTTCCCTGTGAGAAAACAAAAATAGCAATGGTCAATTAGGAATTCAGAATGTAGACATTTCCCATTTTAATGCTCAGGACCATGATGACACAGCCACTTAGAAAAGTACAGGGAAGATGCTTTCATCTCTGGTCCTTCCCTGCCTCTTCCTGCCATTTGAATCAATGTGCAGGTACCATGCAAGGAACTTTCCTTAGCTAGGTGTGGCAGAGACTGGCTTAACCAAGAGAACAGAATATATTTCCCAGCTTCCTCTGTACCTAGGTTTTTTGCTATGCACCTAAGTTCTACTCAATGAAGTGTGGGTAGGAATGATGTAAGCCACTCCTAAGCCCTGATCCATAACCTCATGTGTGAGCTTTCTCATTCACTCTCTCCCCATTTGCCAGCTAGATGTAGAGCTCAAAGCCTACAACATTGTAGGTCACATGTTGACTCCATCAACCTGAGTCTGTAAGTGGAGTAGAAAATCCTCCACTCCCACATCTACTACCAAATGAACTTCTGTTAGCAAGAAATAAACTTCTCCTATAGTTAAGCCACTGAGATTTACTGTAATAGCTTCCATTGCCTTGACTAATGTAGTAGGCCTACCATGAGCAGTGGGACAACTTGGTTATGGTGATGGCAGTATTGAACTGATCGAGTATTGACTACAGGAGCCTCAGCAAAGATAACGGAGTAGTAATATAAAGTGCAGAGAATATGCCATCAGGAAACATGGAAGATCAGGGTTGTAGGATTTTATCAGTGGTGACATACCCTAAATAAGGGGCCACTCAGAAAGAAGTGAGGCTTGTCAATTTAAATTCGAAATTTGATTGACTAAAAATATCCTAAATGAGATGCAACCCATTGAGTACCTACAAACATCAAGGTCTATACTAAGTTTAATAGTCAGTGTGATATTAAAAACTGAGATAAGTAAACATGCCTGGTGAAAAATAGGCCTTCAGTAAAGTTTATTTTAAATAAACATGTGGTAAAAGAATGAACTGTTGTGTTCATGAAAATGGAGATATCAGACACGGAATAAACATCTCTAAAGTTCTGCTGATATCACGCACACTAATGTGAAGGGCAAACCTTACACCAGGAGCCTGCCTAGATGACAGCTCCACTGAGTACTTTACGATTAGCGGAGTGCATTCCTTTTCCTTGTAACTACCCTGTGAGGTCACACCTTTCTGTATCACGGAGCCTCTATACTAACTCAGGTCTCACTTTTGTTTCATTTCTGTCTTGCTCACACCTTCTTCTGTTAGAGCTTTATAGACACCAAATCAGCACCTCCATTCTTAGCAGGGTTGCCCTGTAATCCATTCACTTTTTCCATCTCTACGACCACTACTCTGATCTAAACCAAAATCATTTATCCCAATGACCACTGAGCCAACCTCCCACATCCTCCCACGTCCTTTCTTTCCCCTTTTGCAATCCATTCTCCACAATGCAGCCTGAGTGACCTTTCTAAAACTCAAATCTGTTCATGTCACACATCTCTGCCCTAGGCTCAATGATGACTTATCACTAAACATAGGTTCAATCTTTACTTGACCTATAAAGCATCTGGTCCCTGTTTACCTGTCAAGTCTCACCTCAGATCACCTGACACTCTCTTCCTCACACCTCAAGTTCCAGTCAGACTAAAACTTCCTCCAACATCTTGGTCACTGCAAGTCCTCTGACATCAGGGCTTTCTCACTTGCTGTTCACTCACCTGGAAGACACTTCACCTCCTCACTATCTGCACTTTACCCACTTTCCTCTGAAAAAGCTTTCCACACTCACCAGACCATCCTTTCCCACACCATCCTCTCCCACACCATCCTCTTTTCTCTTTTCATAATGGGAATCATAACTGTATTTCTTTTTCAATTGTATTTACTACTTCACTGCCTTCACTGCTAACTAAAAGCAGAGTAAGGATAGAGATTATTTCCTCATCCCCACAGTTCCAGAATCACAGCATATACTCAATAGTTGTTGAATTCAATTTAATTCAGCTCCAAAGACTGTATAAATAAATCAAGATGAGGTAAAAAAATTAATTTTCCCTGCATAGGATTGTTATGATAAAATAAATCAATGTTTTACTCTAACATTTATCCAAAATGCCATATAAATATAAAGTTTTACTTTAATAACTTACTCCTGCATAAATGAAAGATAACACCAATTGGAACAGACTGGTTTGATGCTACAGATGGTTTGAGGACAGATAAAATGATGCCATCTGTGAATGTATAAGACAGCCTACACAGATAGCTACTGTCTCAAAAATTAAAGGTTTTCTGAAATATAGAAAGAGCAAAAGAGTTTAATAAAAAAAAAGCCTACACCATATTTATGAACTTAACCAGAAAAAATTTTAACAGATATAAAATGATAAATTTCTTAGAGACTGAAAAGGTTGTGCTTCGTTGGTTTGGAACCTGCAAAAAACACAAAGGAACCAGCTTTTATTGAAGCCTAGTATCAGCACAGGCAAAAGCTTCATGTTCACTGTGAGCCTTTTTTTGTTTGTTTATCTGTTATTTATTTACTTGTTTATTGCTTTAACTCAACCTTCACTAGCTCAGAAGGCAGGTGGCCCCAGTTCAAATCCAGGCTCTACCATGCCCTAGTTTCTCCATCTACAAAATGAGAACAGCAATACACCCTAACTCTTGGTGTTACTGTAAAATAATATATGCCACACACTTAGCACACATAGTGCCTTGTACTGTACTAACCATTCGTTAATCTTAATTGTTTCCATCATTGTTGCAATTGTTTACTAAATGCCAGGAAGAACAGCATGGGGAAGAGAGAAATTATATTCTCACACAAAAAAAAAAGTTGTGAAATAACTGTGTACTGATAAACCCTAAGGCACAGATATACAAACAGATATTTCGTGCAAAGTGAGTTAACAAGGGAAAATTAAATACGGAGAGCTAATCACGTAATCTAAAGCATGAAATCTGACAGGTGGTGATGATTTGAAGTACTATGGTAAGATTGGTTAATAGACTGCATTGAGAAAGCAGGTTATTACTAATTACAGATACCAAAACAGGGAAGGAGAGAATAAAAGAGTGTGTGGAGCTTTGCTTTGTTTTGTTTTGGTTTTTTGTTTGTTTTGTTTGTTTGGTGGTACTAGGGTTTGAACTCATGGCCTTGAGCTTGCTAGGCAGGCGCTCTACTACTTGAGCTTGATGGTGCTTGTTATCACAAATTTATCATTATTGGGGTACTAATGATTCTGTTTTTATCTCCTATATACAGACCAGAATGCAAGTGAATAAGAATGACTTCTACATTTTAAAAAATAATTTACATGCCTTAGAATTTTTTTTAATTAGAAGTAGTTATAAGACCTTCCAAGAAATATAATAAAGCAATATGTCAAACTACCAGAATAAGGAATCACCTCAGTGAGAGATTTGGTAAGTGTGGCAGGCAGCAAACAGAAAGTGGCATTGTTAACTAGATGATGATAAAGATATCACTCCAAGATGCCCTGTAGTAGTATACAGTTGGTCTTACAACATAATACAACTTAAACCAATAACAAGAATTGTTCCAGATGCCAAAAAAACCAATGGACTTAAGGACTTATGGATGACAAAGATTCTTTTTTACCACCAAATATCTAAGGTCTACATGTGGGTGCTACTGCATTCCTTTATAGAGAGAGATGAACTGGGTAATGACATTAGTATCTACTGTGGGTGGCTGCCACTCAAAAACAGTGTGACCTATAGTTATCACCAGTGAGGGAGTCTGTACCTACTAGTAACTACTTGTGGAGATGCCTCTACAGTTCAAATATAAGGGTATCTATTTAGGGGGAGAAAAGCTAAAATACAAACTGCTGGGGACTACTTGGATTTGGGGCATTTATATATATATAAATATGTATATTATATACACATATACATTCTGCTGGGGACTACTTGGATTTGGGGGATTTATATACATATATATGTATATATTTATATATATATACTTTTTTACTGAAAATTCTGCTCTAAAGATAGATGAGCAAAATTAATTAATTAAATTCAGACATTAATAATTAGTCATGTGACATGACTAAACCAACTATCTAAATAACCTTAATTAGAAACATGAACCAGAAGTCTTTTCCTAGGACCTAAGCATTATTACCTGGACCTATTCAGCTTCACCTGTCACATACGCCATTCATTCAATAAACAATTGCTGAGTGTTTACAAAGTACCATCTGAAGAAAGTAGTAGATGTGAAGGCCATCACTGTTACTATAGACCTTCTAAACACTCTCTCACAAAGAATTTATAGTATGTTGATTAAAAAAAAGAATTAATGATAACAATGTGTGATAAAATAAATTATAACTTGGTTACCATCCAGGAACAATGAGAATACACAGGCCTGTCTAGTTTTAGTGGTCAGGGAGGATTTCCTGGGGATAGCCATTGTTTGAGTGAAGAACTATAAAAGATTAGTGAAAGATACAGAAGGTGAGACAACGTGACAGTAGGCCACACAGTAGACAAGAGAGGTAAGTGTGGCCATGTGAACAATGCAGGCCATAAAGGAACTCTGATTTGATCTTAGGAGCGATGGGATCCAGGAGTAATGGTTTGGAGGGGCATCTAACAGGAAAGACCAGTTAGATAACTACTTCAGAAATCCAAGGGAACAATGCTGAGGCCTGAAATTAAGGAAGATATGGGAATGGAGAGAAACACATAGTTTCAAAAGGTATCAAGGAGGTAAAAATAACATTTAGTTACTTCACATTTTATGTCATTAAAGTCATAGAAAATGAAGTCCTCCCACAGCATTTAGAAGGGATATATTCTGAAAATAAAGGGACAAGAATGGAGAAAGAAGGTTGGACAGTCAAGAGGGAAAAAAATACATTATCTTCTTCTCCTCCTCATTCTCCCACATATGCTTCTTCCTCAGCTCCAGGGAAAGCTGCCATTTACTGCTGCTCATTTGAACTGGTTTAGATCTCACCAAGGGCCTG